TCCACCATCATTTACAGGTAATAAAATTAGATTTAAAGTGAATACTCTAAAATTAAATATTTTAGGTTTGAATTGTAATATTCCACTTTGTGTAACTGATAGTTGTTTTAATGGTGGTACTTGTTTAATTCGAAATGATACATTAAATTGTCAATGTCCATGTGGATTTACTGGTAAGCAAATTATCATTTATGAAAACGATAAAATAAAATTTTTAATTTTTTAATAAAGGATCTCGATGTGAAAATCCATTTGATATATGTTCATTAACTATATGTCAAAATAATGGTACACGTATTCTAAATGCAACAGGATGTCGATGTACATGTTTATGTCCATCAGGATATACTGGAAATCTTTGTCAATCAACAATTACACCTACTAATACAACTTATATAGGACAAATTATTATTCCTATTGATCGACCAGGAGGTATTTCATTTTGAATAGAAAAAAAATTCTTCTCCGATGGATTTTATAAAATATATTTTCTTCCTAGGTGCATCATGGGAAATTATTTCACAATGTGTCGATCAAGTTTGGAATAGTTTGAATGTTATACTCAGTAAATAGATCATAGAATAATATTATATCATTTAATTTATTTTTCTAGTATGTAATTCACCATTTACACTTGTTAGTCCAACATCATTTTATCCATATTGTTATCAAATAAATCAACAATCATCACTTGTTAGTCAATTAAATGCTATACAAGATTGTAGTGATAAATCAGCTCAACTTGTTTGGTTTCAATCTATTGATGAAATACAACAACAATTAATTCCAGCTTTATTTGCTCGTGGTTTAGCTCGAGGTTTGTTTTGTTTCTTTTTAAATTACAATTTAAAAACTTCCGTTGTTAGATTTTTGGACAAGTGGTATCTATAATCCATCAGTAAATCGATGGCAATGGTTATTAGCAACTAATAATACTCGTATTGATATTGATCCCTCAATTCTGACACAATTTGGAATAACTGCTTTGAGTATAAAGAAACAAAAGTTAATTGTATCGAAATTAAAATCTATTTTTCTATATTAATTTTAGCTGGTCAATCTATTCGTTATTCATTTGCACAATTAACTAATCGACGTTTAGTAACAGGTTCTTCATCCGAAACATATTCAACACTTTGTAAAATATCTGCAACACGTCTTCCATTAAATAATATAACACGTGTCATTGATTTAACATCACAACAATATGGACTTCATAATCAGTAAAATAATTTTCTTTTGTTTTTAATAATTTATTTTTGCTCTATTTAGATCACAAGTTATTACCTATAATTTTAATTATACTATATTTTCGACAATTCCATCTGGTATTCTAATACAACAACCAACAGCTGCACAATATGCAGCTATGTGTGGTGCTATTGGTACTCTATCGACTTCTGTTAATCCTTATATTATTGATATTTGTGGTTATTTTCCATCAATAACCGATGGTAATGTTCAATTATTAATGCAAACAATTTCTTCATATTATACGACACATCGAATATCAATTATGTCAACACGTAATTTTGAAAAATAATAAAAAGAAAGTTAATAATTTTTATTTTTTCTAGAAAATTTTGTTGCAATACCATTACGAGTTGAACATTTTACAACCATATCCGGTGATTTAATGACACGAATAAGTTTTATAATAACAAGTGGTTCATCAGTTGTTTTGGGTTCAAATATTGAACCATTAGCATCAATTAATGATATACTCAATGCAGTAAACTATCGTGTTTACCAACAATGTACACCTTACATATCTACGAGTATTCTTTTACCATTAAAATTATGTATTCCATTTAATGAAATATCATTATGGACAAATTTAATTGCAAGTGCTGTTTCAATAGCAACAGGTAAAGTTTTTTCTATTTATTAAATAAAAAAAAATAATTTAAGACCTTTGTTTTTCTTCCTAAGGACAATCAAGTGTAACTGTTATGCTTAAAGGTGTTCAACAAGGTGTTACATCAACAGGGTATGTTTTCATTTAATAGTTTCTAAAAATTAAACAAAAATATATGAATAAATTTAGACAACCAGCAAATACTGCCTATTTTCTAATAACAATAAATGGAATGACATATAATCAGACATTAAATAGTAATTTAACATTAAATCCAATATTAATATCAACTATAACACAAACGAATAGTCAATTATTATGTTCAAATCAAACACAAATACTTCCAATGCAAAATAGTATTCAAGATTTTTATGCTCCATGTCCTATACCACAAATGTAAGTTAAGAAAAAATATTATTAATATCACTAAAATCAATACAATAATCTTTTAGACTTCAAAGACAATTAAATAATGCATTACAACAAGCTGGAATTTATACTATTAATATGACAATATTCGGTGTTGAAGAAGCTATTGATAATCTTGGGTAATATATTTAATTGTTATTTAATTTTAATCCTTTTTTCTGTTTTAGACAAATCTATCGATTACCTAATATATTTATTCAACATCAAAATGGTACATGGCTTGATAGTCCATTACAATTAAATAATCAATTATATCAAATTTTAATATCTGTTCAAATGCAACGAATACTAACACGTATTTATCGTTTAGCAAAAGCTTACTCATATTTCTATACAAATCATTTAACAATAAATGATCGTGATTATTTACAAAGATTAATTTTAACAACATATAATCAACAAAGTAGAGAAAAAGCCACTAATCAATATATGCATATATAATAAAATTCTTGTATTTATTTTAGATACAATTACAAGTAATAGTGTAAGAGTTATGTTAGAAGATCCATATTTAAATACAAGTTCATTATCAACAATTGAAAGAGTTTATGCATTTTTATTTTATAATGATCAAGAACTTGATGGAAGATATTTATCAGCATTAATTTTATCACCAACACAATTTACTGGTCCTTATTATAGTCAAATTCCATTGACTTTTGTATCAAATATAATACCAAGCAATGTTGTTAAACAACGTGATGTACAATTAATAACATTTACTGGTAAAATTAGTCGAACATTAGCACAAACTGCATTGATTGATTACTGGCAAAATCCAGCTAAACAAGGATTAACAAATGCAAATGTTTATATTTTACAACTACAACAATATTTCGTCTATTCAATCAAGTAAATTGGAAAACATTTCTTTTTTTCTTATTTCCAATAAAACATTTTTATGTTTAGTCAATTTTATACAACAATAACTTATATAGTTATAACATCTGATGGATATAGTGTACCAAGTGCATGTTTCAATCCAAATTTAATGCAGCCATTAAATGGTTTATGTGATGCACCGAATAATTATGTCGCACAAGTACCACTTAGTTATACAGCATCATTTATTGATTTAAGAGGAAATTATTTACAAGCGGATCTTAATCATGATAATTTCGAAACATTAATTACATCAGCATTACAAAGAACGGGGCTTAGTAGTACAGGTAAATTCAAAGACAAGAGTTTTTTTTGAAAATATTTCTTCTTCTTCTTTTTACTTAGTTTCATCAACATTAATTGAACCCCGTTTTGGTTTGGATATGTCATTAATAACAAGAGTTTATTACATGGTTGTACCTAGTCAAGTTATTACACAAGAACAAATACAAGTTCAATTAAAGTCGATTTTTTCTACAATGCAACCAGTAAAATATGATTTGTATCCTAGTGGACAATTATCTGTTGCACAACGTGATACTCATCAATATATTGCTAATGTTTCATTACCATTAACAACAGCTATTCGTCAAAATATTGAAAACTATCTTACATCATATAATCGACGTATGAATAAGATTTATTTGAGTTTATAAAAACAAAAAAAAACATTCTGTTATCTTTCTAGAATATGGAATTGCAAAAATAGTTTATGCAGAAACTTTGAACACTTACCAAACTCGTTTTTATCTTGTGGTAAAAATAAATATTGAATATAATTGAAATGAAATTTTGTTTTTTAGTTTCTTAACGATACGCAAATTTTAACTCGATGTGATTTCTTTCTATATTATCCGGGTGTTACAAATATTAATAATGGAACTGGTGGAATTCATAGTCTATATCTTGACAGAAATGTTTTTGTTGCACAACCACTTGCACTTGCTAGTGGTCTTGCACAAATCTGGACAAATCAAAATCCAAATGTTCAACCAGGAACTTTACTTATTCA